TTATATATCTTAGCCCAGCTATTTTAAACTGTTTGATCACATTCTAGGGTTACTATTATGCATAAAAAAAAACTTATACAACACTAATAGGAATACTGAGATCAAATACAAAAAAATACAACCATCAACGTATTTCAAAATTGTTACTTTTTTGTAAAATATATCATCACATTTTTATATTAGTGCTACCAGTATTACAACATTAATATTCTAACTTATTTGTAACATTTGAACTTTTGATTTAATGCAATATTTTGTACTGCCATTAGGGACTGCCAGTGAATGGCTGTTGCATGCATAAAATGCAACCTTTTTATTCTGACAGTGTATGATTTCTATTAATATTACAGAATAGAACATGATCAATATTATCTTTCAACATTCAATTTAAATAATTGTAACTGCACAAACTATGTAGGCTACAATTTCAATTTGTTGATTGTGAAATAACTCAAACATTTATGGGTTTTTTTCTGTCCTCTGATAAGCATTGTTCAGGGCTGCCGTTCCCAAAAGCTTTAATGCTTTCTTATGATACTTTTGGGAAACGCAGCCCTGTTTGAATGCACTGTCAGCAGTGAGTGAACGCTCTCTGTGATTGATTGGTTCTGTCTTGCAACATTTGCGTGTATTCAGATGAGCAGGAAAATAGTTATATCCTACACAATTACTCGCTAACAAAGGTTATTCGTCCAATTCAATGCATATTGTACAGATGTTTTTATTGTTAAATTAACAAAATCACTGGTAAATAAAACGCACCTTAGTATCGATATTTTTTGTTTGAGTATCGAAACTTTCGATACTCGCGTCAGTATCGATACTTCGGATAGATACGCCCATCCCTAATCGCTTTGACCGTAGATCCCACCTTCTCACACACACCATGATTGGTCCATTATGTACAATGCTTGCATGTTATTGGTCAAACTACTTTTCGATCATTACCTTCAGCAAGCATGAAAACAGGAAAAAACAAAGCCAAAACAAATCCTGGCAAGGACGCGTCTGGGGCACATATGGTCACCCTAGTCTTACACAGAATAAGGCATGAAATATTTCATTGAATTCTAAGCAGTGATAAAGAAAGTCTATGTCGATTAGCATTGCATTATTATATACTTTATCATAATGAAAATTATAAGATAAACTCAGATAAACCATATATTGTCATAGTCGTGTGTTTATTAGTCACGTTGAATTAATGAAAGCAGTTAAATCTTCTGTTTATTCAGCTGCAGCGCCCTCTGGCCTTCGGATGGAGATTTACTGCTGATCACAGAACCGTGCTTCACTGAAAGATACGCATGACAATCGCAGCTTTTGCCTAATCGTGATTACGATTTCATTTCGATTTATCGTGCATCCCTAAAATATGTGTCCCTTAAATTGCTTTCCTTTTTACCATAATCAGGTTGGTATCAACTACCAGCCGCCGACTGTGGTTCCAGGAGGCGATCTGGCCAAAGTTCAAAGGGCAGTCTGTATGTTGAGCAACACCACAGCCATCGCTGAGGCCTGGGCCCATCTGGATCACAAGTTTGATCTAATGTACGCAAAGAGAGCCTTCGTGCACTGGTACGTTGGAGAAGGTATGGAGGAGGGTGAGTTTGCGGAGGCCCGTGAAGATTTAGCCGCTCTCAAGAAAGATTACGAAATAGGTGGGAGTCGACACTCCCGAAGGAGACGGTGAAGAGGGAGAAGAATAAATGTAACTTTACTCTTAAAAGTTTTGAATATAGCAATAAATATCGACATTTCACGTTTGTTAGTCTTTTAGGCGTTTATTATTCAGCATTTAAAAAATCTAGTCACCAATAGCCACTAATCAAACAGCTACAATGTACAGTACATTACATAAGGAGTGTTACAGGTTACCACACTACAGATAAAACAGTTCAAAAGGATTCTGCACCATTTATTGTCTTCATAAACAGAAAGTTGTAGATGGCTTCGAAGATTTATCAAAGCACAGCGACGGTGTGAATAAATGCTTTCTTCATTAAATGTCACTTGTTTGTTCTGTAGCAAGGCACATTTGATTTCTTTTACCTGTACTGTACTTACATCAGTATACAGTAAGTGACTTTACTCTCTAACTTTACAGACTTGCATAATAACATCCTTCATATAAAACGTGCTCAAGAATTGTCACAACCCAGCATGACAGTTCTTACATCAAAGTACCTGCACTTCTCTGCAAAGACAAGATTTCATCAGAAATACAGTGCCAAAATAGATCACTTTACATATCGGAAATGTTGTAAACAGCTGTGACGAGAGGGGAGGGGCCGAGAGCCGTGGGAACGGAGCGAGGCCGGTGGAGTAAATGATAATGAGCGACACCTGCCATAAATATACACAGTACACTACACACACATTATGTAAACAAAAACTTTTATTTTGGATGCGATTAATCGCGATGAATCATTTGACAGCACTAAAATGTATACATGGGAATCTAAGGGTTGACAATGAAAATATATTCGGCCCTCTTTCATTCTTTATTTGAACTAAACACGAGTGAACAATCAGAATCTGAATAAAACAAAGTCTGTGCATTGTTCTCACAGATCACAAAGACGCATTTATTACTGTCTGGAAACATTTCAGCATTACTCAGATACACATTTCTGATTTTTAAATATAAAATGCTACAATAAGAACTCAGAATCTATGTTTGGAATATATGTTTTAATTGAAAGACAACCAATTTAATCCAACTGAATTTACTAGATACACTGTCTTTCTAACTATAATTGAATTTATTTGCGACTGTCTCTCACTAGATTCTATGAAATACATATTTAATATCATACAGTTCAAATATATTTATACAATATGATAATAAAATCATAAACTTAGTTTAAACCTCTTCTGCTTCTTATTTGAGTCTTTCCAGGTCTTCTCTGAATAGAGTTAAAATCTCATGAGCTGATCTTAACACGCAGCAAGTGTTTGTGTGTTGTGAGCTCAGCCATTCACACTGGCACAGCTCAGCTAGATCTAAATGAAGGATCTTGAGTAAAATCCAAGGTCTGAATGACTCACGCACAATATGGTCAATGTGGGTTTGGAAACGTGCGTCACTGGCTGCGTTGGTTAAAGTACACAAAAATATCATACATCTGTGAGCCTCGTGTGTTTGGGAAAGCGCCAGCGATGCTGTGTTTGTGACTCAGATGGTATCTCATCGTAAGCGTGAGGACAAATGTGGTTTGTGTGTTTGATCAGCCGGATGCTTCAGGTTCATGTAAGGGATGTCAATCTGTCCAGATCCAGGTTCAGTTCGCCAGGGCCGCAAGAATAGGGGTGATAACTCCTACTCAAACATGAATAAGAAAAAAAAGGAACATATCTTTTTATATATATATATATATGAGTTTAAACTTTAAACCACGTAAAACTGTCATTTGCTTACATCCCAGTACTCACAGTTAGGCCGAGGGGTCAGAATTAGGAGGGTCTGGACAACATGACGGACTCACTGGCTTCAGAGGAATCTTCACTGACGGGAGGGAGTCTTTGGGACAATTTGACTGGGAGAAGACGACACAGTTGCAACAGATGATATGCATGCAGGTACACTAGGGACACATTAAATTAAATTGATCAAAAGTGACAGTAAAGACATTTATAATTTTTTACTAAAGATTCCTACTTCAAATAAATGCTGTTCTTTTGAACTTTCTATTCATCAAAGAATCCGAAAAAAAATGTATCACGGTTTCCACAAAAAAATGAAGCAGCACACCTTTTTCAACATTGATAATAATAGGAAATGTTTCTTTAGCAGCAAATCATATATATATATATATATATATATATATATACACACACACACCCACATACATAAAATAAAATATATAATATATGTATATTTTAAATATTTACTTATTGTCATTAAAAAAAATTATTAATTTATTAACATTTACAGTATAATAGAATACAGAATATATAATAGAAAACAGTTGTTTTAAATTGAAACAATATTTCCTTGGTGAGCATAAGAGACTTCTTTCAAAAACATTACAAATCTAAACTCACTTAAAAATCTATAAGTCACTTCTGAACAGTAGTGTATGTTTTGTAAGGGTAAGTACCCAGGGTCCAAAATTAACTTGGCTGGTTGGTTCTCACAAAAAACCAAGGTACTTTGACTTAATGTGCTTAAATTGGATGACTAATGAGAGATATTACGATTTAAATCATGCACTTTGTTGCAGTTCCTACTACCAGCCAAATGGCCAGTAAGAGTTTCATTTATGCAAAGCCAGTTGTTAATTCTGGATTCTGAATAAACAAATATTTCGTGCAAAAACAACATTCAACACTCTACAAATGACCACAAATTACACAATGAGGAAACAGAGACATTACAACCAAGACGACAATTATATAGATCAGTCATGAAACTCTAGATGGCGCAGGCGACGGGTTGTTAACGTAACCGATGATATTCAGAAAGTTAAACGACTTGGCACAAGCTGATTGGTTCATGCTGCATATGCAGCCAATGAGCTTACTGCCTTGCATTTATATGGCTGGCTAGCATTCACTTGAGGGTCCTGCAGCACACTTTCAGAGTTCTCTGAAACCCTCCACCTTCCCCAGCTCCACCTGTATAGATCTGCTACGGGGTTATTTTATATGCTATTTGTGCAGCAGCAGTATGTCTTAAATACTCACGGCACTGTATCGCCATATGCATTGGCAGTAGCAAGTTCCTGTACTTGCTTGCAGCACCAGCAATAATCTACAACTACCGCAATAACCAACAGCAGCAGCAATTCAGCAGCAGCGTAGCAAATCTGTTCCACCAAGACCAAATACATTAACATTGTCATATCCATCACCATGCTAAAATGCTCAGAGAGTTGTCATGATTGAACTATAGTTATTAGGAGGGACATAATAAATAGTAGTAAGTGTTATACAGTGCCTTTTCAGCAACACTGTAGCATCAAAAGAAAAACCATCAAAGATTAAATCACTACACACTCAAACATCACAAGATTTTCTGTGTGTTCAAGAACATCTCACACATCTGATGATGGTTGTTCTTACCTCTTCATCGCTGTTGTTGTGTTCTTCCGACTTGGCTTTCTTCTTCTCTTTCTTTTTCTTCTCATCCTCCTTCTTCTTCTTGTCCTTGTCGGGCAGGATGTCATCCAGCCAGGCCAGATCATGCTGCGAGAAGATCAGGTCCAGAGTCTTCCTCACGACCATCAGGCCCAGAATCTGACGGAGGAACCGGTCACATGACAATAGGCCAAACAAACGGTATCCAAATACAAAAGGTACAAGACATGATAATTATGTTCTGAGAGTCACATATTGGGTGGATCTGATGAAAAATCCAGGTCATATTTTAGCCTACAATAAAAAACAAAAACAACAATATATGTAAAATAAAATATTAGGCATAGAGAAAATAAAGCCTATTTTAAGATCTTTTACATTTTTGCGGTATGGCATTATTTTCATGAAAATTAAGCATATTTCAACTATTTTTATTTTTTTGCTTTTCAGAATAAAATAAAACATTTTGTACAGAGAAAAGAAAGCATACTGAAAATAAAGCATATTTTATAACAATAAGATGTAAAATAAAATAAAATGTATATTTTACTTAAAAATATAATAAGGCCTATTTAAGATCTTTTAGACTTTTTTGAAGTATGACATTATCTTCATGATAATTATGTATATTACGTAATTTTTTTTCCAGAATAAAAATAAAATATTTAGCATTTGCAATAAAGCCTATTTTAAGATCTTTACTATTTTTTGCATTGTGACCATTTTCATGAAAATGAAGCATATTTTCAACATTTATTTGAGTTTTTTCTTTAGATTCTGGGGTGAAATATGACCTATCCATCTCTTAATGAGATTTGCTTATATCACTTATATTATTCTAGTGATTGGTCCAGAGAAGCAGAACTTGTGTAGAAATCGCACCATGACAGGGAAAATGATGGCGGCCACAGTGGACTTGAGGATCCAGAGGACGGCCAAACAGGTGATCTGCACCAGAGTGAAGAGATGCACGCGCCGCAGGGGTACGTGCCGCAGGAAGACAAAATCTGGCTGGTGCTTGGCTGGCATGAGGAACAGCTTCATCCTCTCCCAAAACTGAACAAAATAGAAAAGTCTGGTGAAATCCACCCAAGGACATATATTTGTATAATAGTTCCAACTCTGTATTATTTTCTTTCTCACACAAAAAGAGTTGGTATATAGTGCAAAAATACTTTTAAGGCCTTTTGGAGCTTGAGAGGTTAAACCATCATCCATCTTTGTTGTATGGAAATAAGCAACTCTCATAATTCTCCTTTTATGCTTCAAATAATCATAATAATACAGGTCCACGAAGGGGAGTAAATGATGAAAAACATTTCATTTTTGGGCAAACTATTGTAAGGAAAAAGTATAATTTGCTGAAAATTTCCTCACCCTCAGGTCACCCAAGATGTAGACGAGTTTGTTTCGTCATCAAAACAGATTTGGAGAAATGTAGCATTACATCACTCGCTCACCAATGGATCCTCTGCAGTGAATGGGTGCCGTCAGAACGAGAGTCCAAACAGCTGATAAAAACATCACAATAATCCACAAGTAATCCACACCACTCCTGTCCATCAGTTAATGTCTTGTGAAGTGAAAAGATGCGTTTAAGAAACAAATTCATCATTAATGAATGAATGAATGAATGTGCATTTATATAGCGCTTTATTGTGTATTTTTGTAGAGGCAAAGCGCTTTACAATCATGTAGGGGGGTCTCTCCTCAACCACCACCAGTGTGCAGCATCCACTTGGATGATGCAACGGCAGCCACAGGACAATGGCGCTAGTGCGCTCACCACACACTAGGTACAGGTGGAGAGGAGAGAGAGTCATAGAGCCAATCAAGTGGTTGGGGATTATTAGGAGGCCATGATTGACAAAGGCCAGGAGGGCAATTTTGGCCAGGACACTGGGGTTACACCCCTACTCTTTTACGAGAGGTGCCATGGGATTTTCAATGACCACAGAGAGTCAGGACCTCGGTTTAACGTCTCATCCTAAAGACGGTGCTTTTTGACATTATAGTGTCCCCGTCACTATACTGGGGCATTAGGACCCACACAGACTACAGGGTGAGCACCCCCTGCTGGCCTCACTAACACCTGTTCCAACAGCAACCTAGTTTTACCAGTTTTCCAGGTACTGACCAGGCTCAACCCTGCTTAGCTTCAGAGGGCAACCAGTCTTGGGCTGCAGGGTGATATGGCTGTGGACATAAAAATACATTTTTAACTTTAAACTGTTGCTTCTGGCCAAAATATGAGTTCATAATCCATAACAATGCCTCCTCCAGTGAGAAAGTCCATGCACTGTTGTTTTCTCACATCAAAATCCACCCACATATTTGTTTAGAGCTTTTTTGAACTGGTTTCACTGTGCATACATCCTTTTTCACTAGAGAAAGCAATATTATGGATAATATTTTAGCCATAAGCAATGGTATGAAATTAAAAACATCCCAATGATGGAATTGTTTCTTACAAACACACATCTTTTCGCTTCACAAGACATTAACTGATGGACTGGAGTGGATTAACACCTGTTCCAACAGCAGCCTAGTTTTACCAGTTTTCCAGGTACTGACCAGGCTCAACCCTGCTTAGCTTCAGAGGGCAACCAGTCTTGGGCTGCAGGGTGATATGGCTGTGGACATAAAAATACATTTTTAACTTTAAACTGTTGCTTCTGGCCAAAATATGAGTTCATAATCCATAACAATGCCTCCTCCAGTGAGAAAGTCCATGCACTGTTGTTTTCTCACATCAAAATCCACCCACATATTTGTTTAGAGCTTTTTTGAACTGGTTTCACTGTGCATACATCCTTTTTCACTAGAGAAAGCAATATTATGGATAATATTTTAGCCATAAGCAATGGTATGAAATTAAAAACATCCCAATGATGGAATTGTTTCTTACAAACACACATCTTTTCGCTTCACAAGACATTAACTGATGGACTGGAGTGGATTGCGTATGGATTATTGTGATGTTTTTATCAGCTGTTTGGACTCTCGTTCTGACGGCACCCATTCACTGCAGAGGATCCACTGGTGAGTGTATGTGATGTAATGCTACATTTCTCCAAATCTGTTCTGATGAAGAAACAAACTCATCTACATCTTGGATGACCTGAGGGTGAGGGAATTTTCAGCAAATTTTCATTTTTGGATGAATTATTCAATCTGAACTACAGATTTACAGAGCGACATGTACCTGGATGCCATGGAGAGAAGCGACGCCCATATACAGGAAAACACCATACAACACAGGCATAGGGATGTACTGTGCAGAAATACACAAAAGTATTTGTGCAGTTTCTGCACTGCAAAAAATGAGCATGATTTGATTCAAATAAAGTAAGACTGTTCTGATTACCTGCAGTACCGGTGCAAGGAAGACAGAGACCCCAGTGAGGACGAACACCAGTATGCCTGTGAATCTCTGTTCCCTGCGTTAAACACAAACATAATGCTCCTCACAACTACATGACAAAATACTTGTAGTCTGGTTTTGACTTACCGCACACCAAGAAACTGTGGCTGCTCGCCAGGAGCGCTGGACTCACTCTCCATCTTCAGAGAGTCGATGTGGGCGATGGAAATGACTGTGGCTGCTACGTACCAGGGCAAACCCATGAAGGAGCAGACAGCCATGAGGATGCCCACCCAGAACAGGTCCAGATGATAACCACAACCTTTCTGCTCAAGTAAAACGGGAAGAAGACATTTAGTGGTGCTACATGGAATGACACACTACTGCCTGTGGACATGCATGCATATTACCTATTCAAGTGCCACAGTATTGTGAATGGTCATCAAGACTTTTCTATACGGTTCCTAAGGTGTTCTGAGTCAGTATTATTTTAGTATTATTCATATATTATCACAGTATTTATTATACATTTTTAACTTTAAACTGTTGCTTCTGTCCAAAATATGAGTTCATAATCCATAACAATGCCTCCTCCAGTGAGAAAGTCCATGCACTGTTGTTTTCTCACATCAAAATCCACCCACATATTTGTTTAGAGCTTTTTTGAACTGGTTTCACTGTGCATACATCCTTTTTTCACTAGAGAAAGCAATATTATGGATAATATTTTAGCCATAAGCAATGGTATGAAATTAAAAACATCCCAATGATGGAATTGTTTCTTACAAACACACATCTTTTCGCTTCACAAGACATTAACTGATGGACTGGAGTGGATTGCGTATGGATTATTGTGATGTTTTTATCAGCTGTTTGGACTCTCGTTCTGACGGCACCCATTCACTGCAGAGGATCCACTGGTGAGTGTATGTGATGTAATGCTACATTTCTCCAAATCTGTTCTGATGAAGAAACAAACTCATCTACATCTTGGATGACCTGAGGGTGAGGGAATTTTCAGCAAATTTTCATTTTTGGATGAATTATTAAATCTGAACTACAGATTTACAGAGCGACATGTACCTGGATGCCATGGAGAGAAGCGACGCCCATATACAGGAAAACACCATACAACACAGGCATAGGGATGTACTGTGCAGAAATACACAAAAGTATTTGTGCAGTTTCTGCACTGCAAAAAATGAGCATGATTTGATTCAAATAAAGTAAGACTGTTCTGATTACCTGCAGTACCGGTGCAAGGAAGACAGAGACCCCAGTGAGGACGAACACCAGTATGCCTGTGAATCTCTGTTCCCTGCGTTAAACACAAACATAATGCTCCTCACAACTACATGACAAAATACTTGTAGTCTGGTTTTGACTTACCGCACACCAAGAAACTGTGGCTGCTCGCCAGGAGCGCTGGACTCACTCTCCATCTTCAGAGAGTCGATGTGGGCGATGGAAATGACTGTGGCTGCTACGTACCAGGGCAAACCCATGAAGGAGCAGACAGCCATGAGGATGCCCACCCAGAACAGGTCCAGATGATAACCACAACCTTTCTGCTCAAGTAAAACGGGAAGAAGACATTTAGTGGTGCTACATGGAATGACACACTACTGCCTGTGGACATGCATGCATATTACCTATTCAAGTGCCACAGTATTGTGAATGGTCATCAAGACTTTTCTATACGGTTCCTAAGGTGTTCTGAGTCAGTATTATTTTAGTATTATTCATATATTATCACAGTATTTATTATTATTTTGAATTAGCTTTTATTTTTAGTTTAAGGTTTAGTACTTCTGTCATGTGCTTATGATATTAGTTTTAGTTTTTGTAATATTTCTATTTACCTTTATTTTTATTTCCATTTTAGTCACTTTAGTACCATTTTTTTTCATCAAATATTTACGTTTTATTTAATTTCAGCTTTATATTAATTACTGAAAACTATTTTTTAATAGGTTTAGTTTTACTTCTTAATACACAAGCTCACATATGGTGGACCTCACAAAACTCCAGGTCATTTTTCATCACATACATACATAAATATTTATTTATTTAAGATTTTTAGATTTACTTGTGTATTTGCAGTATGGCACTATTTTCATGAAATTTTAGCATTTTTAACAAACATTTCAACATTTTTATTTTTCAGAATAAAAATAAAATGAAATATTTAGAATAGAGAAAATGAAGTCTATTTAGGGCCAATAAAATAAAATATTTTACATAAAGAAACAAGCCTATTTAATATCTCTTATATTTTTTGGCGTAATAATAATACAATTAATTCAAATATTTAACAGATAAAATAAAACCTCTTTAGGGTCATTAAAATAAAATAAAATATAATTTTACTTTGAGAAAATAAAGCATATTTAAGATCTTTTTGATTTATTTTTATTTTTTTTGCAGTGTGGCATTACTTTAATGAAAATGTATCTTTTTTTTCCCCAAAAAAATTTCAAGAGTTTTTTTTTTTGAATAAAAATAAAATAAAATATTTAGCATGGAGAAAATAAAGTCTATTTCAGGACCATTAAGATGTTTTAAGGGATAGTTCACCCAAAAATGAAAATTTGATGTTTATCTGCTTACCCCCAGGGCATCCAAGGTGAAGGTAACATTAGGCACGTTTCCATTACCCTTCAAATAGCGCAAATTGAAATTGAAAATTGAAAATACGCCTAATGGAAACGCATCAATTTCGCAAAAACGCCCATATATCGCAAAAAAGTTTTTACGCTCACATGAGGTGGTTTTTCAGGCAATGCGAAAAAGGAATAATTTGCAAAATTGCAATGGAAACGTATTTTTCGCATTTACAGGTCACATGGCGTATGTAAAAAGTCATATGATCATTCTTCAATGTACTATAACCTCCAAGAAACACTTCATAAGTGGCCGTGCTCCAGTATAAGGGGCTTTCCCTACCATTAATGCTTAGACAATTTACACTGCACACGTCTGTGGTGCAGTGTGGCTCTGATACGGTCACTGAAGCTGATTGTGGCCACTCAATGCTTGTGTTTATTCCAGAATCCAGCCGCGCCACGCACGTTGCTTCTGTAAAGATACATGCATACGCCTCCTTTGAATAAATATAGCCAAAATCTGTTGCCATGACTGATCGCGAGAGGCAAAAGGTTACATTTTAGTCGCATAACATTGGTTAATGGAAACGCCGTCATTTCGCAATACTTTTTTATCGACATTTATAAAATATCGCCAAAGTTTTGCGCAAATTTGTAATGGAAACGCACCTAGTGTTTCTTCAGTAGAAGATTTTTAACTCAAACCGTTGCAGTCTGTCATATAATGTAAGTGGATTTGAGAGTCAAAAAAACATACACAAACAAAACCAAATTAAACCCTGCAGCTCGTGACGATACATTGATGTGTAAAGACACGAAACGATTGATCTGTGCAAGAAACTGAACAGTATTTATATAGTTTTTTACCTCTGATTCACCGCAATGTCCAAACTGTCCTGAGCGCGTTCTTCTCAACAGCCGGCGCGTGACGCGTCTTTTTCTTCTTCTTGCTTTACGGCGGATCGCAGACTTATAAGTGCATTACCACCAGCTATCTCTCAAATGGACCACTGATACTCTATCTACAATCTGAATTAGGAGTGTCAATGGTCCATTTGAGAGATAGGTGGCGGTAATGCACTTATAAGTCTGTGATCCGCCGTAAAGCAGAACGCGCTCAGGACAGTTCGGACATTGCGGTGAATCAGAGGTAAAAAACGATATAAATACTGTTCAGTTTCTTGCACAGACCAATCGTTTCGTGTCTTTACACATCAATGTATCGTCACGAGCTGGAGGGTTTAATTAGGTTTTGTTTGTGTATGTTTTGTTTTACTCTCAAAGCCGTGATTCCCATTCACTTACATTATATGACTGACAGACTGCAACGGTTTGAGTTAAAAATCTTCGTTTGTGTTCTACTGAAGAAACAAAGTCACCTACATCTTGGATGCCCAGGGGGTAAGCAGATAAACATCAAATTTTCATTTTTGGGTGAACTATCCCTTTAACAACACTGTGGAACAACACTTCCACATTTCTACAGTATGCAGTTGCTAGGGTGTCTTGGGAGGTTGCTAGGGTGTGAGAATGAGTGCTGCTGCAGAGTGACACTCAAACCTTTAGTTTGTTCTCTTTTCGGTTGACGATGACAGCCGTGATCTGCTGATCCATGAAGATGAGGATGGTGACCAGAAGAGCAGGTGCAAAACTAGCCAAGCACATCCACCACGGGTTCTTCCCAAAAGGCATAACGATCCAGCCTCGATCCGGCCGCGTCGGCTACACAGACACAACGACACTGATGAAAGCATAGGAGTAACCAGCAGATGTCAATGAAATAAGATGCTGTGTTTTGTAAAACACAGTAGATTAATGTGATGTTAGTATATGATCATGAGAAAAAGCTCAAATAGATGCAGTCGGGAGGTAAAGAAACATACGTGTGTATCCGTAGCACAACGCACCTTAAATTCGGTTGGCACAATCAGTTTAGGTGTTTTAAGCCCCATAAACAAATCAAGACCAACAAATGTCATGATTGACATGAAGATTGCAAAATCACTGATGAGCTTCCGAAGCTGCACATTTACAGAGGAAAAAAGAAAGATAAAGATGCAGAAAACTAGAGAACAAGAGAAGATGCTTTATAAGACAAGGGCGGTAGATTTGAAAATGCAGCAGTAACATATTTGATGCCTTCAAGCCTTTCTGTGAAGTTTTTATGACTTTTAGAAGTCATAAATACAATGTAATTTTTCAAATGTAATGTGATTTTCATTTTGTGTGTGTGTTTTCAGATGGATTTTTAAAAAATGAATATTTTAATGTAATTTTTATATTGTATGGTCTCATGCACATATTTTAAGTAATAAATAAAAAAATTATATTTTCATGTATTTAGTTTAAATATGTAATACTTTTATCTATTAATGAACTGTCATTGTACATTTTCTGTATTTTATGTCCTTGAAACACTTAGAGCTTGTAATGTCCTATAGAATTTTATGATTCAAAATGTAACAATAATATTAAATTTTACAATAATATGCATTATCAAATACAATTAAATAATATTATTGCCATTATTATTATAAATGTTACGATGGGAGAATAGCGTTACCTAATAAAAATGGTTAAATCATTTCATAAATCAAAAAGTATCATTTTTGTTCTGGTACAATACAAATTTGGGAAGTCGGGACTTAAAGAAATCTCAGTTAGAATCAGAGTAATATTGACTAAAATCAATTAATATGACAAAATATTGGCTAGATTCAAAATACATTTTCATCAAAAGACAAAAAATTATGATTATTATCAATATAATTTTTTTATTCAAAAGTAATTATTATTCCTAATAATAAAACTTCTTAATATACTTATTTTTATTATTTAAAAAAATTATAAAGAAAATAGTGGTATTATGAATAATAATTAATTTTTAAGAAAATGTTGCTATTATTATTGACTCAAATATTTATAACTATATTATTAATATGAATATTAACCATACCTACTTTTGAATAAAATATATTTTTTAAAATTATTGGAATAACATGCACTGATGAACCAAAGAAAATTCAGAATTCCCCACTTTATGCAACCATTTGGAGGCATTCATGTGCACTTTTCTCTAATAGACAATGATGACTTGAAAGCAACATTTCATTCAGATATAGCCAGTATAAAAAGGTAAACATTAAGACAGAGAAGACAACACATGCTGGACCTTTATCTGGGTGGGCACATGCAGTTTGGGAGTGTCCAAGGACATCACATAATCCAGAGCGCAGAAGACCAGGATGGATACAATTATGGAAAAATCCGCTAACAAGGTGCGACACTTGGAGAAAAATAACAAAAAACAAGCAGAACAACCAGAAGTTGGGGGGACAGCAATATACACAATATGGACTGGGATAAAGAATACCGTCTCCATGTGGTAGTGTGTTGACATGCAAGGGAAATACACAGTTTTCCAACCTTTGTGGGGAAGTAACGGCTGGCCTTGAACTTCTTGAGCGAGATGGTCATGGAGTAAGTGCCGAAGAACAAAATGAAAGACAGCATGGCCAGATCAGGGACGTATTTGCAGGATTTGCCCACCAGGGAACCGCCGAAACTCAAGCACTCTTTCTTACTCAGCTGATTCCAGTCCAGAGCAGAGAAGTTGAACTGAGTGGAGGAGTGAGATCACGTGTGGACAAAGACAACAAGAGAGAGAAACACAAAGAGAAAGGGATTGTAAAAGTAATAGTTATGCTTGCTTGGAAGAAAAACTGACGTTAAACACAGGCTTATGAAATACATGAGAGTTGCAGCTCACCATTGAGTAATCAGAGATGTTTTCTAGGCCTAATGGAGAAGAAGAGTTGAGAGCCACTACAACAGAAGATAAATGAGCACTAATTGTGTTTGTGTGTTTATTGACAAGAAATACTGTCATTCCCAAAACAAGCTATCATACAATAACATCCTATACTCCATGCTACTTACTCCAGTCAGCAGCCAAATCGAGTATGGGTGACAAAAACAAATATGATGATACACATATGTTGCAGAGGTCAGATGTAACAAACCAATACGTCATCCAAAAAACAAAACAAAAAGTCAACATAAAATTTTAGGATGGAAAACATGTGTAATGTGATGCATAAAAAAAAAAATTGTAGTCATTTTAGTCGACCAAAATTAAATGGCATTTTTTAAAAACGAAATGAATAACTAATTAACTTAAATTAATTAGTATGACAATAAATATTGACTAAAATTAAAGGATATTTTCATTCAAAGACAAGAATTATGACAAAAAGGTGTAAACAATTATCATCATCATCAATAATAATAATAACTTATACACCATTTTGTCATCATTTTTTTTACTTTTAATGAAAATATACTTTAAATTTAGTCAATATTTTGTGTCATATTGCAATCATCTGTGGAGATTAAAATTAAATGACTATCGTCATTTTAGTCGACTAAAACTAATATTAATATGACAGAAGATTTTAAAATATAAAAGATATTTTCATCAAAAGACAAAGAATGAGACAAAATATTATATAAAAATATTATTATTGTTTTAAATGTTATTCTCAAAACACGTTTTTATTCATAATGATAAAAAAAATATTATTATTATTTATAATAATAATTATTATAATAATTTATTATGAAGAATAATTACATTTGAATCATTTGAAACATCATATATTATTATTATTATTATTATTATTTATTAATAACTATTAATAATAATAGGAATAACATGCACTGATTAATCAATATATTAAAAGATAAAGTAAATATAAAGTATTATATATATAATTAGTATGACAATAAATATTGACTAAAATTAAAGGATATTTTCATCCAAAGAAAAAAATTATGAAAAAAAGGTGTAAAAATGATCCTCCTCCTCCTCCTCCTCATCAATAATAATAATAACTTAAACACCATTTTTGTCATAATTTTTTACTTCTGATGAAAATATCCTTTAAATTTAGTCAATATTTTGTGTCATATTGCAGTCATCTGTGGAGATTAAAATTAAATGACTATCGTCATTTTAGTCGACTAAAACTAGAATTAATATGACAGAAGATTTTAAAATATAAAGGATATTTTCATCAAAATACAAAGAATGAGACAAAATATTATGTACAAATTATTATTATTATTTTAAATGTTATTCTCAAAAATATTGTTATTCATAATGCTAAAAATATTAGTTATTTATAATAATACTTATAATAATTTATTATGAAGAATAATTACATTTGAATCATTTGAAACATCATATTATTATTATTATTATTATTATTAACTTTTGGGGAAAAAATAAAACTACATTATTACTATTATTATTAATAATAATAATTATTATTTATTAATAACTATTATTATTAATAATAATAATAATAATAGGAATAACATGCACTGATGAATCAAGATATAAAAAGATAAAGTAAATATAAAGCATTATATATAAAAAAAGTACAAGTATACAAATTAAGAAAGTAAATAGGGTCATACTTGAACAGAATAATTCCACCAAGCCTGCCTGAGGTTGAGGCTCGTTGGGTCAGGGTTCAGACTCACCTTGATCAGAAGCCTGGCAGTCACACCTGTAGCTGGTGAGGTAATCTGGCTTGAAGTCTCGATTGATGGGGTAATAATTGAAGATGCTCATCATTTTCTTAAGGGCGTCAGAGATGAAGATGAAGGAGATGAGGCTGGAGAAGCCCTCCTCGGTGAAGCGTGTCATGTACTTGATGATGTAGCTGGCGTCTGTGGCCACCAGGATCAGACACTGGAGGCAGGAGTGCAGGCCGATCCAGAGCCGGATCTCCATGTAGTCTATGTCATTGTTTCTGAACAGACGACAATCATTCTCACTTATTTCTTACCGATTATGACTCACTTATTTTGATGATTTTATGACATGCATTTTGACTTTACTATATGACAGGCTGTCCTGCTCACATGCTGAATTCATACAGCAGCTTTTCAAAGATCAGTATCGGTCCTGTAGAGCTGAGGATGATGAGGGGTTGACCACCGAAGAGGCAGAAGACCACGCCGGCCAAAGCCGTGCCCAAAAAGCTTTCCATCACACCCTGAAAGTCAATGAGACATATCCAAAAATGACAGGACATGCAGACAGAAAACTCTCACTGATAAAGTAGGGAAAAAGCAAATAAAGGAATAGAAAGACCTTTTCAAAGAAGTTTTGAACACTTTTCAAATTTCAAATGCTTTTTCAATAAATTTTATGAAATTTAAATTTAGTAAAAGACATTTTAAGAAGCCTGGTTTATTAAAATATTGATATATGTTTTTTCTCTATATTTCTAGTTCTGTATTATATTGCATTATTGAATTTTCAGTTTTTCTTATATTAGTGTTATATTTCATCTCTACTGTGCAATTCCTATGTATGTCTGCACTCTCATGTATGTTTGCACTACGTCTGTACTGTCTTCAGCACTGGAAGTTCCTGTCGCCAAGATTAATTCCTTGTGTAAACATACTTGGCAATAAACTCTTAATAATGCATAATTATTGTCATATTATGACAATTATGACATAAAAAGTCAAAATTATTAGGTATGCTCCGATCCGCCTTTTTCACCTCCGATACCGATTCCGATACCTAGGGTTCAGTATTTGCCGATACTGATACCGAGCCGATACCAGTGAAGTTTTTTTTTCTCCATTTAAATAAATGTAGAATTTATATATTTCTGTGTGTGGAACTGATAATCATTCTTTCACAATCTACTAAATACAGACGACTTCATTATAAAGAAAAATAAACAATAAATATGAAAAAACATATGTATATTCATAATCTATGACAAAAATATATAATAAACTAGGTTAGTGGATAATTCGGCAGCAAAAGTTATTCTAGAAAAATCAGTGCACAATAATTTTAGAAATCCAAACATTTAGTGAAAAAACTATATTTTGTGGGGAACAAATAAAAGTGTTGCACTAAATATGGTAAAATGTTACACATTGCTATTTGTAATATAAAATCCATTAATGAAAAACATTCATGAATGTATTTATATATAAGTATATACTATAAAATCAGACATTTATTTACAAATCAATTATAATAATGGAAACACAAAATGATCTTGGAGAGAGCTTTTCCGTGCTGACTGTCATAACCGCATGCGACGAGGGTTTAAAGGCTGAACGAATGACTGACAGCCACAGCGGAGAAAAGAGTTTGTGTGAACTTTAATGTAAGGACTTAAATATTCATATGTAGCTCACATTAAAGGGATACGTTTTCTACGTGTATTTATGTTTTGATTTGAACGAAAACAGCGAATCCGTGCAGTGCAGCTGACACAGAAGAGCATGAAGACGCTGCTTGCGTCCAGCCGATATTCTCCAAAATGGTGCTACGGTGATGGGGAGAGGCACAGAGGAGACGAATTGTTGAATAAAGTCGTTATTTTTGTTTTCTTCGCGTACAAAAAGTATTCTTGTCACTTCATAACGTTACGGTTGAACCACTGATGGCAGATGGACTATTCTGACGATGTCTTTCATACTTTTCTGGACCTTGACAGTGTCATTTACTAGGCAGGCAATGGGACAGTCACAAGCCTCCCGGTTTTCATCCAAAATATCTTAAATTGTGTTCCGAAGACGAATGTTTTGATTTGAACGAAAACAGCGAATCCGTGCAGTGCAGCTGACACAGAAGAGCATGAAGACGCTGCTTGCGTCCAGCCAATATTCTCCAAAATGGTGCTACGGTGATGGGGAGAGGCACAGAGGAGACGAATTGTTGAATAAAGTCATTATTTTTGTTTTC